TTACGTCTAATCTCGCGTACTCTAGCTACTCTCAAATCAGGCGTGTTACACCCGAAACTAAGGATAAATTACGGCATGCGATCGAATCGTCGTGTGTACTCAGAGGAAAGGCAAACGGCGTGAAAATCTATCGATCGGCCGGCACACGTGTCCCACCGTCAACCGTCGAAGACACCTTCGCTACGCAAAGCAGCGGTAATTGCAATGTTACTCAGGCTCGTTCGCATACACGCGGCGAGAAACAGGGGTGAAGTGGTGGAACGGGGGAGGGGTGTGTGTGTGTGTGTGAAGCGACAGTCGGGGAAACGATAATTGCGATTCCAGTGAGTAGCACGATCGATCCGATAATCGTTCAACGATTCTGCGTGTGTTCGCCACGACGAGACTGCTACTATCTACGTTCTACATTCACAGTGTCCAAATCGAGAAAACGATCGTTAGCTCGAACGACGAAACAGAAAGAAAGAAAAAATGAGAATGGATACACAATGTGCGTGTGTGCGTGTGTAGACGTGTGAGTGTGCGAGGGTGAGAGACTGAGAAAGAGAGTGAGAAAGAGAGAGAAAGAGATAAAGAGATAAAGAGAAGTATAAAGAGAATGTGTGCGAACGAAAAATAGTGAGAAAATCAAAGGCAGGTGGGAACGATTGTGTGACGCGAGTGTGCGTGTTGTGTGTGCGTTAATGACGATTAATGATGAACGAGAAGTGAGTAATAATAAATAATGGTAAATATCTTACAAGTGCGCTTGCAATTTGTTGGGAAGAGCATTCTCTTCCTTTCCACTACCAACCAACCACGCCATGCAGAAGAATGTAGAACAGTGTAGACAGAAGTGGGTAGAAGATTTAATACAAAAATGAAACAAGACAGCAACGTTAGGTGATTGTTCCGGCACCATTAATTAATTGATTATTATTTTTTTTTTCAGAAAAAAAACAACAACACAACAACAGAGATTTATTTTGTTGACTATGGTGCAACACTCGATTCGTATTACTATCCGCTGAGTGTGCGTCTTGGCGTTAGTGCGCCGACGTTTAGACGAATAATATTTAATAACAGGTTCGCTGGTCGTGAAACGGACAACGAAAGGAAGAAGACTGGACGAATGTAGCGAACGAAGGCAGCCTCGATAATAATTCGAGTCGAGTTTGCAAGAAAATTGAACTACCATCACCGATACTTCCGTACGGAGATTTACCAAGTTAATACCGTGTTGTTATTACTGTCTCTCTTCGATTCGATATAGTTCTGTTCGCTTGATTTAAATAAAAGAAATGCGGTAAGATCAGTATATCATTGTTACATTGATTCGGTTTCGTTCAAGTTTTAAAACCGTCGCGACGTTCAATCTTACGCGGTTTCAATCGCGGATCGACGGGTGTCATTGAAAATCATAAAAGTATACATGTATACATGTATATACATACTGTACGTATATCTCTTTATATGCATACATATATATACATATATACACATATACATATATATATATATACATCGTATTAAATACCTAAGATTTACAGCAATACAAGTGGTGTGTCGAACGAACGAAATCTGCGATCATTCCAACACAGGTACTCAACAGAGACAAAAAGGAAACGAAAAAACTCAGCATGGCCGCCAAAATGATGCGTGACAATAAGATCCACTTTCGGGGAGATCTCTTTAAGCAAGTAAAGCTTGCGAACGTGAACCGAAAGCACCAAACAAACACTTCGATTATCTACTCGACGAGAGGATATCATATCTCGAACGTGTTTACGGACGGACTCTGATCGATCACTTTATATAGAGATATATACATATACAGATTCGCTGTTACGGATTTACGACAAGCCGGTAGTTGCTCGGCTTACCTTGCACTGGCCAATCGGGAGTGCTCCTTACTCTTCATCGCGACCGTCGTGTTCGCGTGCCGGCACATCATGTAAATAGCCATCGACAGGAATACCAAGTTCGCCTGATAAGACAAGATCGGAATGTTAATAACTATTCTCGGCGTTAACGAGCCAGTAGCTTCCGGATCTAACGCGCTGTCATATTGCTCAAAATAAGTGAGACATTACGGTCCCGACTCTATCGTTAATTGAACTTTACAACGTCAATCAACCGGGCTGATCTACACGGATAGATTAGTCGTTACAAGATCGATTGGAGTTACTGTATTCACCTCGGATCATCCAGAAACGTGATACGAATCATACCATTAACGGGATTGATTGAGTTCTTAATCAAAGCTTCATTGATAAACATTGTACATTTAATGGGAATCAACATTGAATTCATAATTACTTGGTAAACATCTGATATAACTCTTATGTAACTCATTTGTACCTCGATTGTAAACGAATCATTCTTTTAGAAGAAAGTCTTATACTCCCAATGGATTTTGTATGTGTCCAAGAACACGCGTTTGAGGTTCGTAATCTTGAAAGAAATGGTGAATTTATTTTGAGCAATATGTTTGAAGACTGTCTAGTCAAAGTGGAGTAAAGCGGATGATCTTTTACAGAGAGCCTTACCAATATAACGAGTATCACAGGTCCAACGAAGCTGAAGATGAAGTAGTTATCCGCCCGCAGCCAGCAGTACCGATCGGTCCCGTAGCTGAGAGGATCGATTATACAAGAAATAGCCACGACCAGCAGCGGGGCACCGTAGGCGACCAGATAGTACCAGCGTAGTCTCGATTTTTCCGCTTCGAAGACCTCGATCAGCATCACGTATAATTGGAATCCTGGTATAAAGTTCAGGAAAGGTCAGATCCGTTCACGACGAGGAAAATTGTTTAGCGTATCGCGGTTTCGCGGCGTACGGCGGATTCTATTGCGTGAAAGGTATACCTTCGAGGAACATCCAGGCGAACGCGCACAGGAAGAAGAAGTGCAACAATCCGGCGACGATACCGCAGACAATTCTCTGATTCGTTTGACCGATTCCGCAAACGAATAAAATTTCCGCGATCAGCAGGCACACGCAGAGATTCTTGTGGATGGTCGTCCTGTCCGACTGTAACCAATGAAAATGTGACATTTGTAGCGGGGCATCCTTAGAAGGGGAGACGATGATGACACATAATGATCGCTCGAACAGCAACGAGGCAGAGGAGGAGGTCGTTACCTTGAGTCCGCGAAATAATTGAAAGGTCAGAATAGCGAGAACGAGGCAGACAACGGAAATGATGCAACCGATGTAGGTGATGATCTGCAACGCGACTTGATGAGCGATGTCCAATCTTATCGCGTGAACGTCCATGAGAACCGCGAAGTTCGTGAGATGGTTGCACTCGCAGACGGTGTGCGTCTCGTTGGTCTTGCGTATCTGGCAGCCTTCCTCCGACCAAGCGCTGAAAATTACAACAGAAGTCAATACACCGGCTTCAATGCATAGCTTGTTCGGCACTCTTCGATTAATTGAACGAATACTTTACTGAGAGCGTTCGAGTAAATAGCTAGGAAGCAGTTTCACCAATGTCGTTCCAACGTCTCGATAATTTCAAAATTACCTGAGGATGTAGTCCCAGAAGACGCAAGTAGGATTGGTTACGTTCTCAATGGACAAATGCTTGAAATAGACTCTAACGGGCTCGCTGAGCTGTATATGCCTTCCTTTGCCCAAAGACGCGGAGATCACTTTGCTGTTGAGGAGCCTGGTCGTGTTCCTTTTCGGCAGCGGTTGCGGGTCGTCGTTCATGACTAGCGACGATACCTCGGCTTGCGGCTGCAGGATCTCTTCGAGTCTGTCAAAGGCCATGAAGACTAAGCGGACAATACCTCCCGCGCTGTTCTCTAGCAAAGCGCCACTAGTCAACTCCACCCGATCGTTTGAAGCTGTCCACCTCTGCTGAGCTGCCTCGGTCGGGAATACTTCCAGATCATCACCGATGTTACGGGCGTCCAGTACGCGCACTTCCATGACTGTTGAAAAAAAAAAGTCGAATCAACGTTAAAATAATCCCAGAGTAACAAACGTATAAGACGTTATTAGAAAAGTTGATTGTCCGTGAGCTCGTGTTAACTAGAGATTCTCTTGTCATTTATATCTTTACATTTATCTTCTATTATCGAAAGGTACGAAATAAACTATACAGCGTTACAGTCGATTCGTGAATCGAATAAAGAAATATTTAATACAGTTATCAAGGCTCGATTGCTTCCGTCAAAACGAGCAACACGTCCGAGGTGGATACTCGTACGCCATTCTTCCGCGATGCTCGCCAGGACAGGGACTATAAAGTCCCGCGCGGTGGACCCGTCTTCCCCGCCCGTTGAACAATAAAACTAACCGCACGTATTACGTTCCTTTTTTATCGTTTTTATTCTCCCGACGCGTCGTGTATTCCGTTCGATCAGTCATAAACGTGACGGCGCCGGTGACGAGAAAAATTCGAGGCACGCGATGATGGTAGCGAGTTTTCTACTGGCGCGGAAGAAAGAGCACGGCCGGCTAGGGAATATTATGTTACATGGCATCCGGCCGGCTGTCGCTCATCAAACTCATCTTCTTTTTGCCCTTTACTGTTACGCTATTTATCACGTGCGGATCTAATGCCCGGTGTGTTGCTGCTGCCGCCGCAGCCTGCTACTTCATTCGGCCGCGGCGTATAAATCCCTTCCAGGCTCAATCGCGACGCGCCACCTTACTTCCGGGAAGTAAATCAAATTGCTCGTAATTTTCCTCCGGGGTTTTGTTGTGATAATGGCGGACGGTAGAGGTAAAGCTCGGGTTACAACATTATCCAGGAAGGTACCAGAGAATTACGATGGGGTTCGGATCTTTGTTTTATCTACGCCGGATATTACCAGCGTCGCATTCCCCAGATAAGGGATCTAGATTTATGCGACCCAATGTTGAAGTCGGACCTACGGTACTCGCATGTCCATTGTGCCGGAGCAGTCCGGCCTGCTAACTTCTCTGCTACACAACTTCTTTCTTAACAGGTGATCCAACACGGTTGATAAACTGGCCCCACCGAGCAGATAACTTCTCGAAACGAAGATCGCGCCGCGATGAGATACACCGTATTAGCTCCGATGAGTAATTGCATCGGGTTAATAGAGAATCAACGTTCCATCGTTTCCTCGTTCATTTTTCTTTCATTAGAAATTCTTAATCATGAGCGTCAATCTCCGCCAACACCGTTGAGACCGACTACGCGGGTTTAATTTGAAACGGACATACCTCCGCGCCAAAACGAAATCGTCCCGGCAATACGATTGGTATTATCTAATAAATGAACGAATGTACACTTACGTATGTTCCTCCCCACATGAGTGATCGTTTTCTCCTGCATCAGCGTGTCAGCCAAGAGAAACGCATTCTCTTCGAGTCCAGTCAATAGGGAGGTCGCGACTCTCATCTGCTCCTGATGGCTGAGGTCCTTCCAGGACGGCATCTGCGCCTTGTCCAGCAGATTGCTACCGGTCCTGACGACACCCTGCAGTAACTCCGTCACGCTGACCTCCCTTTGATTCGCGTCCTGGTACGTCCTGATGTCCTGCGCCATTTTCTCCGCCATATTCTTCATGATCTTCGTCGTGATCATCATGTCGCCGCCGTACAGGCCGCGGCTGTTGTTCGTCACCTGCGACAATTCCCGGCTGATGCCGAGGATCACGTCGCCCTCGGTCACTCGGTTCTCGAGCGTGGTTAGCCAGACCGATCTGCACTCGCTCAAATCGGGACTGTCCCGGTGCCAGAACGCCGAGTCACCCTTCGCCAGGCATCGCCATCGGGCAAGACCGTTCGCCCCGCCTGGACAGCTTTGCACAGCGACGTCACCGGCCCTGGTCGTGTTCCACGAGAGGTTCCTGGCCTGCACCGGGGGACACACTTGTCTACCGTAGTCGTACCATTGGCCATTCGAGCTGGACTCCGGGTACAGCGTGCTCGGCACTGGAATATTTGAGTTAGTTACGAGCGTTAGTTGGCCCGTTACTTGGCTTTAGTTAATGGGCACGGCTTTAATGTGATTCTAGTGTCCGGTCCCCTAGGCGGGCCGGGGCTTAACGCGCAACATCCTATCGGGTCTGCGAAATGGAATTTTGGATACCCAGGGGTGTCTTAATCTTTTGCGGTGATTGTTACGAGTTCACGAGTTACACGAAGTCGAAGCCCTACCCGCGGACCGATACGATTTATACGCGCGCCGCGCTGTCTGGCCGGAGATTCCGCGTACAAATTACAATCGACGGAAACGCGATAAGAACAGTCGGTACTAGATAAGCCAGATGGGCAGGTGTTAACGATAACAGCTATGAAATCGTGCGCACGAGATGAAGAAGATAATCCAGTGATAATTGCGAGACATATAAAACAGCGGAGACAAGGAAAACCGGATGGCCGACTGTTAATACCGACGACTTCTAGAATACTTGTTAGAAGATAAATAAGACGATAAGAGTATCTCTATTATGAATCGTAGATTAATTGATTTTTTGCGTGTCCCGATGGCGCCCCTTTAATCAAAGGACAGCTGAAATTTGGAAGCTCTGACACCTGCCCTTTGAGCATTAACCCTTTCGGCACGATCGCTGACTGTAATTGACAGCCGACAAGCCCTCACACGTGCCAACGCGTCGACCATAATCGACGGTGGATAGTTCAAACCAGTTATGGTCATTCACTCGATAAATCTTGCTTTGTTGAAACTATCAAGGTTCGTTTAATCCTAATCATTTTATTGTATTACGGCGCGCGAAAATTAATAACGAGGGAATTATTCGCGTTGCAAGTAATATTAACGGGGAAAAGGAGGAGGAAGCTACTACTAAATCAAATCTTTTTTACAAATGCCAATCATTCGAAAAGTTCAGAGTCACTTTTACAAACATCACTGTAACTCTTTTAGATCCGATGAAAAGATAATACTTTTATTTTCAGACTTCGGTCATATCGATTTCACGTGAATTAAAAATTGCCAGCGTCGCTTGAACTGCGGTCCGTTTAGGGGAAAAATGAACATTTTAGTAACCAAGTCGCGTTCGGAACGCTTACGGTTGAAGAAAGGTATTTAAACACTCGAGCAACTTACCAGTGGTCCTTCGACTCGTTCTCCAAGGAGCAAAGGTCGACGTCGTTGTGGCCTGAGTGGTCTCAGGGACGATCGGAGGCACCGCTGGTCCGTTCGCAGACGGAACGTTCGGGGGAAGTATTAAGTCCTGGTCCACCTCGAGGACCTCCATATCGACCGGAGACCTTGTCGACGTGGGACTACAAAAGCGGAAGGAGTTCGTCATATTTCGCTCGTACCGTGATAGTTCGCAATGGACCGCGAGGCCGACGATGTAACGAAAACATTTCTCTTTGGAGCAGCACGCTTTAACTCGATTTCAAGGAACCAGTTCGCGACTTCGCTTTTTCCCGCGTAACTGGCAACATTTCTTTTCGATCTTCGGGGAACTACGTGACCACTGTTCACGTTCCCTTCGATCAGCCGAATAAACATTGTAATACAAAGCGCAAAATGTAACTTAAACATCGATTCGTCAAACACCGTGAAACTTTGACCTCAAACTACTACGAACATTAAACAATTACCTCTAAAGCTTACCAGTTACAGAATACACAAAATATCATTTCTCCTATTTAAAATATTAAACAACACTTTCAGTTTCTTTAAAATAGATATCGAAAAACCGTTTCCCTCTTTCGCGAATAAATAAAACGCTTAGCCGGAAGCCAACCCTTTCTAGAGTTAACGCGACTCTATAGCAGGGGTTGATGCAAATTTCAGTGAAACGCACGGAAACTTCGCCGGGCAAGTGAAACGAAAGTGTACTGACCTTGACGTGGTGGTTATTGGCAGCGTCGGGGTGGACGGCGCCGGCGGCTGCGGCGGCTGCTGAGCCGGGGGTGTCGTAATCCTGGAGGGAGGCCTGACAGTCGGCTTAGCCGTGCTCCAAACGCTCGGCTGCGAAGTCATGAACCACGGCGGGCTCGGACGGGACGTTGTCGTGGTTGTTGCCGCTGCAAGTGTTTCGTCGAGCTCGTTTTAACCTCGGGAACATTCGCCGTTGGGGCGGACGGAGGTTCGGGGAGGGTTGATACCGAGGTGGCGAAGACGAAGACGCGGAAAGGAGAGACGTTCGCCGCTCGGGGGGTGGCCGAGGATCCTAAGAGCTCGTCTACGAGCTTATCGGATTCGAACGCCGGGTATAATTAAGAAGGAAAGTGATTTGAGGAGACTCGCCGGGGGTAGATGAGCTTCTCAGCCGGCTCAAACGACGGGGATATTTTAAACCTCCTTCGAAGGGAGGGGCGGGGATCAATCTTCTGTCGATTCTCCTTGGTACGTTTTCTCTCTCCCTCTCTCTGCCTCTTTTTCCCTCTCGGCCAGACACTAGTGGGGGTCCGTTTGTTTCTCGTCGAATCGCAACGTTGCGGTGAGAACGTCTTTAATCTCGTCGAATGAGCCTCGTTTTTATCGGCCCTCGGATCGAACGTGAAATTAATCGCGAGTAACGTTGATAGATATTAATCGGGGAAAAACGCGCGGCGCCGGTCGTTGCCAGAACTTGCCCGAAAGATTGAAGTACTTTAACATATTGGTTTCCATGGTTATCCGTTTCGTCAGTCTCGAACGGCGGATCCGAAAGCGCGGTAACGTTCCCCGATATCTTGTTGACCGTTCAAAGGCAATTCGGGAGTAAATACCGTGAATCGAATTGAATATTTTCATTTGCATGCTATCGAGTATTGCCGACGGGGTTCCCGTTAGGAAAGATAAGCGACTAATTTCAGAGCAGGCTGCGTCGATCGAATTTTAGTGTTCGTTCGCGTTCGTTGCGAGAGTATCCGATCGCGTGTCGTCGAGTAGGTTTGCAAGGAGGTAGACGGACTTTAGCGTCGATGCTTCGATGGCCAACGGAGCCGATCGTGACGCTACGTCAGGCCGCCAGAGAAATATTCCCGAAAACGTATGCTCTCGGAGACGGGGGCGAGCCGGGGAACGAGATTAGCCTACCTTCGCGGCCCGATATCGCGACTATATCTGGCCTAAGAGGAGAAAACGATCTTTAACCCAAGATGGCGACGGCAGTTAATCCCTGAACGGGATGGTCCGCGTATTTCGCGTTACTATCTCTATAGGGGTCATCTTTATTGGCCGAAGGGGTTGGCGATAAGGTAAAATACCGGACGTCGCCGATATCCGTTACGATAGTCGGCTAGCAGAGAGAGAGAAAGAGAGAAAGAGAGAAAGAGAGAGAGAGAGAGCCGTGTTTGCGCGAACACGAACGGGGGACGGAGAAAGAGCGAACGAAAGGGAGAAACTCTCTCTATGGCTCTCGCGGTATCGGGGCTACCAAGCAGATCCGAATCCCCCGTAAATGTACGCCGGTGCTCCGAGACCGATCTATCGAGGCCCTTGAGTATCGATCACGGCACACGGCCGTCGCGTTGGGAGCCGTGAAAGGCAAACAGAGAGACGAGGGAGTTGACAGTTTACGGTCCAATAAGTGATTGTGCCGCCGAACGATTTTAGTGGATCTCCTGGAGGGGCGGTGGGTGTTAATATCGAAAAGTCATCCTTGATCGAACGAAACGCCGTAAAACGCCCGACGAAATCCTTTCCCGACGCAACGCGCAATCGTCCGGGGATCAGCGTCTAATAATTTCGAGCCCGATGGATCGTAACTTTTAAATTGAAAGAATCGAGTTCCTCCGGTTTCCGTTACAAAAATGGAGATAATTAATGGTATCAAATGTGGAGGGAAATTATGACGATCAGATTACTTGTTCGGGCACCGGCCGGGATTCTTTCGCGCTCGATTGCTTATTACTTTTTTCTACGCTTAATAACTTGATAAACGAAGGATTAACAGTCACGACAATAAAACCGGACGAACCGTATATCGATCGGGGGCAAATTAATCGTTCGGCGAGCGGGGCGGGATGCCGCGAGGGGAGGCTGTTTATGAAGGCGAACGACTCGATGCAAATTCAC